AACTGATATAATTAAATAAAATAATATAAATAAATTGTATCATTTTGAAGGGAAACAAAATAATACTCCAGTTGAGAAGAAAATTAATCAGTGGAGAATAAAAGGACCAAAATTATCTTCACGTCACAACAAAATTCATAAAGTGCCCAAAATTCGAAATTTGCAGTCTCCAAGGCAAAAGAGAGACTGCGTAGGGTAGGGCTTCAAAGCTTCAAGCTAAAAATTTGAGAAGAAAAAGAGTAATTCGCACTTGAGAAAAAAAAGATACAGAAAAATGAAGGGAGAAGGTGGGCACGACGACAGCGAAGAGAACTTCGGCACCTGCCTGAGCAGCGTACTGGACAACGGGAGCATCGACAGCCACCGATTCTATCTGGCCCGGAGGACGATGCTCGAGATGCTCAAAGACCGTGGTTTTGCGGTCCCCAATTGCGAAATCGAGGTCTCGCTCGAGGAATTTAGGAACAAGCATGGGCAGACGCCGGAGGCCGATGAGTTGAGGATCTCCGCTCTTCACAAGGACGATCCTTCGATTAAGGTTTTTCTGAAATTAGGGCTTTTATTTTTTGTACTTCATTTTTTTTCTGTTTAATTTTTCCTAAGGTTGTTTTTCTGTTTCGGTTGTTTGGGGCGAGATTATTAACCCTAGATGCAATGAGGAAGGAGGGATTTGATGGAGGAAGTAAAGTTGGAGTCTTGCTAGGAGTTTCAGCATTGTTCTTGCTGACATCCAGTGGATTTTCACAGTTTAAAGAAGAGATTTTTTCCTTGTCCTTTTTCCCCTTTTCTTATATAATTACTCATACTAGAATATGCAAAACCTTGTTATTTTCTGGGTTTTTCCTGGCCTGATGTATAGAACTCACTTTTTACAGAGTCTTTCTCTCTCTCTCTCTCTGCATGCTAGTTTTCTTTCTTTTTCAACTCCAGAGTTGAATTTGTTATGGGATTCAACATCTATATCTCAACTTGTGAAACTTGGGCATGTGATTGTGTAACATATGGCTTTTATGGTTATGGTTTTTGTGTGGGTCTTGTTACTACTTGTTTTGTAGGGCATCAAGTGAACTTGAATTTACTCAAATGTTTGATGTTTTAATTGCAGGCTATGGTTATATTCTGTGGTCAAACCATCGTTAAGGTTAATGTTATCCGTGGCATTTCGTCTATGATAGTTAATAAGGATAGCCTTAATCGGCTGATTTTGGTGGTGCATAACAAAATAACCAACCAGGCCATGAGAGCCGTGGAACTTTTCCCTTTCAAAGTTGAAATTTTCCAGGTAATTTAGTTGTTAAATTTGTTCTGTTAGAGATTTTTCTATATATGTAGCATGTACACAGACAGACACATATTAATTGAATGCAAATTATATGTTTGATATCAAAGTTTCTTCCAGATGGTGGTGAATCAAATATAATTCTCAGTTGCGATTTTTCTCTAACCAAATTCTTCCATACGTAATAATGTTATTTAATTTTCGCATGCCCTTTTGTATGTATGTGACTTTTGTGTCGACATAATTGCCTTCTGTTCTGGCGAGGAAGTTTGGTAAAATTTACTATGCATCTGGTTCTAATATAATTTCTTTCGTCTTTTCATCAGTCTATTAGATTTGCTGTTGATATAGAGACTGAACTTGGTGTTTTTTTTTCTTGAAATGTTCCCTTGCTATTTAGATCACTGATTTGCTCGTCAACATAACGAAACATGAGTTGAAGCCAAAACACCTAGTGTTGACCAACCAGGAAAAAGAAGAACTACTCAGAAAGTACAGCATTACCGAAAAGCAGGTAAGTCTTTCCAATTATTTGGGGTGAAGTATATTATTTTTCTTAAAAGAAAAAAATAGTTTATTTATTTATTTATTTTTTCTCCAGCTTCCTCGGATGTCACATAAAGATGCCATTGCCCGTTACTATGGTCTCGAGAAAGGTCAGATAGTAAAGGTCACTTACAGTGGTGAATTGACCCAGTTACACGTGACTTACCGTTGTGTCTGGTGAATGTATATTCACTATTTTGACTTTTTACTGCCGTCTTCCTTATCTATCTGGATAATGCTTCTGTATGTTAGATGACCTTTTGCTCAATGTTGAACTAATTTTAATATCCTTTCATATCCTTAGTTTTTGTGGCTTGTCTCGTGTAATGACATGGTTTTTTGCTGCATTCAACGATCTTTACTGATGTTCTAACTGTTAGTGTTCTTGTACAATGAAATATTTTCCAGCCCTTTGAATGNGCTTATTATCATTAAATGGATTACAAAGGTTCTGGGAAAAAAATCTCTTTATATGCACCAATCAGCAGCACTTTCAAACAAAAGCAAAGGCACAAGTATACCACAAAAACTGATTAAAAAAAAAAGAGCTCTTTTTTCAAGACATTGATAATATAATGCTATGACAAGAAAATATGCTCCTTTTTCTTGAATTCTGACGTCACAATTATCAATTTTTTCGAGCCAATGCAGCTGCTATTCCTCCGGCTAGAAGCCCAATAGCAGTTGCAGTGATGCCAATTCCAACAACACCATCTGCAATTTGACAAAAATCAACAATGAATATAAACGCCACGAAATAATGCTCATATAATCGAGAAAAGTACAACTCTAAGGTTTTCATGCTCGGCAATTCACCTTTAGTGATTCGATCCTCCACAGCTTTCTTCAGAGAAAGAGCTTGCCTCCAGTCAGGCGCAATCTGAAAAAGCACGACACATAGTTGGTTAAGTTTTTGTATAATTAGTAAAATCATGGCCAAGATTTGACCTTTACAAAGGTAAACGGATAATGAACAATTTTTTACAAAATGGAAAAACCAAAACCTCCAAGCACTGATCTAGGATCTGCCTGCTTCTTGCATAGTTTCCACTTCTGTAATATCCAACAGCCAGCAGATAAAGTTTCTCTCTTTTTTGCAAGGGGCTATTCGTGTTGGTTAGTGAAGCTGCAAGTAGAAAGAGCATGAATAAATAAAATGTATTGCTATAGAACACAAGTTAGAAGGCAGAGCAACCCAAATCAGACCAAAACAACACCAGAAGAAATAACTCCATAAAAAAAATAAAAAAATAAAAAAAAAAATATCAAAAAACAACCAACATGATTGTCAAGATTTATAATCTCAGCCTGAGCATACTGCCAAAATGTACCATTCGAATACTATTATCGATCAAAATACCATAACACAAGCTACATAAGTTTGAAAAGAGCTTCACACGAGAAGGACCAACTCAATCACAACTCAATCACCTAGTTAAGACGAAACAGAAAAGCAAAAATATGAATCTGATAAAAACTTGCAATTGCACCTTCGAGCATGGCTATCCCTCGTTGAACATCTTCAGGTTGTTTTGAATGTACGAGAGCCCATGACAGCCGCATAATACCTTCATTTACCCTATCATCCGAGCCCTCTTTTTTGGCCTCCACAATTTCTCGCTCACAGCCCTGTAATAACAAAATAAAAAACACAATCAAAAGAGCGAGCACGCAGTATAGATAATCAAACCATAATAATATAGCTTTTTCCAAGAATGACTCGAGACTTGAGTTGATGAAACATTGATTGTTACATTCAACACAATCTTTCAGCAGGTTACAAAACAGAACTCTTCACAGTTGTTTATAACAATTCAGAACTTTCTTAATTAACCTAAACACCCCTAAAATAACTTGAAAGCCAATTGTACAATCACATAGTCACATATTTCAGCCCGAAGAGACTGAAAAAGAAAAAAAAAGGGAAACTTCTTGCCACTAACCATCAGAGATTTCACATACAAATACACGAAAACGGTGAAATATTTTCCTTGCTGAACATATGAGCAAAATATTATAATGAAATCCCCTTCTCTACAGAAAAAATTGAGCTTTACTAAAAAAATGCAACTTTTGACAGCTAAATTTGAGAACCCATGTCACGAATAAGGGCATAAACACAGAAATTGCTGTAATTTCT